TTTTTTTTTTGGATTTTGCATTTTGCATATTTAAAAGATCAGCATTTACTACTTCTGGGCAATAATTTATAACTCACCTTATAAGTAATGTGAAAGTTTGAATTAGAACTTTAGCGACATTGCCTTTTCTGTATTTGAGATCTTCTCCTGTGCCTTTATGAAAATGTTGTGCCTGAGAAGCGGCGGCCCTGTTGTGATCTTGAGGTGACAGGCTCAAAGAAGAAAATCTAACAAAATAATGAGGATAGGGGAGATGCTTTAAGGAGGATGTTATTGAGCTGCTGGACAAACCCAGGAAATGTTCACCTTGACTTTACTTATTTGGTACCAAGAATCAAACTCAGGACCTTGTGCTTGCAAGGCAGGTGGTGAAACCACTGAGCTTAATCCTCGGCCCTCACCTTGACTTTAAATATAGTGTTGGGCATGATGGTCCATGCTTGTAATTGAAGCACTTGGGAGGCTGAGACAGGAGAATCACAAATTCAAGATCACCCTGGGCTGCAGAGCAAGGCCCTGTCACAAAAAAACAAAAAGGAAAAGAAAGTATTCTCGAGTTTTTGAGGAACGTAGACTTTCTTTTAAATTTTATTTACTTTCCTAATTTTTAAGGGCTGTTATTTCAAGCAGTAAATATACCATACTATATTTAATTATAAACTACCTTTTTTTTTTTAAACCAGGGATCAAACTCAGGACCTTGTGTGTTGAAGGCAGAGCCACTGAGCTATATCTCTGGCCCTATAAACCACCTTTTAATTGTTACAAATGAGCTGTGAGAGACACTGTTGTGCATACAACTGTCTTCATCTCTGTTTCATATTTGTAGGACAGATCCTTGGCAGAGCGCTTTTCTGGTCTAAGTCTTATTACATCAGCCCCCAGTTAACCCTGCTAACCCAGGGACTGGTCTGTTGCAGAGGCCTATGAACATCTGAGGAATGAACCAACAACTTCCAAGCCAGCCTCTTATTTGCCTCTCCTATAGCTGAAGCTTCCCTCATTGCTGTCTCCACCCAGGGTGTGGCCTTATCTTGGGTTGTGTTTCTATGATCCCGTGGCATTATCACCGGCACATCCATGCTGTTGGACTAGCTGGAGAAGTTAGCAAGGGCTCAGCTCTGGGAGAATACTTTGCTTCAGGTTTGCTGTGGTGAGAAGGCAGCAGCTAACTTAGTCTCAGGGTGACACCGGCATCTTACCTCCTTGCACCGTGGAAACCATTTACCCATCAAGTAAGCAGTGGACCCATTCTTGCAAATTGCCTGGAGCCCTGGTAGTGACCCAGAGCTCTCCCAGTTTATTTTTTGCACAGCACAACACCAACACCATGGTTAAAGCCCCCTCCTACCCCCACTGTCCTCAGACTTTCATTTTCTGATGTCCCGAGGCTGCCTATAAAGAGGTATCTTAGACCCCAGAAGGAGGAGGCAGCAGCTACACGTCCTCAAGTCTCAGCTTTATTGGCTGCTGCTTGAATTCACTCATTCTCTGCTGCCCAGTGACATGAAGGTCCCTGTGGCTGCCCTCACTGTCCTGATCCTCACTGAGTCCATTTTCTCCTGGACCTGCTCTGCTTCATGTGAGTCTGTCTTTTGCTTTTGGATCCTCTCGCTCTCTTGGCCTGGCTTGGACCACAGTGTGAAGTCTGTAGCTGAGATCTCCATACAGGGAGCTCCAGAAGGATTTTGAGATTACGTCCTAGAGAGTTTTCCTTCCTAAGGGGAAGACACAGCAATTCTGCTCAGTTCTGGGAGCTAGAGAGGGAGAGAGTCTTGTTTCATGGATGAAAACATGGAGGCCCACCTGGGATTTCATAAGAAGAATCTGGATCCAGTTGGCTCCCTGTCCTGTGGTGTAGCCTTGGTTGCCTTCCCAGCCATTTTCCCCCTGAACAATCCCTTCAGCTTTTCCTGTCTTGTCTGTTGTAGTGGGTGCTGATACCCCAACTGCTTGCTGCTGCTTCTTTATCTCCCGGAAGATCCCGCGTAAATTTGTGGTGGACTATTATGAGACGAGCAGCCAGTGCCCCAAGTCAGCTGTCATGTAAGGGCTGGTCCCCTGGCCGTACCTGCGGAGAGAGGGTGGCTGGGCTCGGGGGGAGACCCTTCAGGGTCCTCAGTTCCCTTAGGTCTGGGGGGTAGGAGTCCAGGGGAGACCCTGAGGTGTTCTCTAGCTGGACCTGGGGCCTGCAGGGAGTCCAGAAAGACCTTTCTGGGTGGTGGGAAGAGAAGGGAGGGAGAGCAGGAAGCTGGCTTTCTGAGGGAGACACTTGGGGGATCTGTGATCTTCAAGATTAGGGGGTCGATTTATGAACATGTGGATAGGCCCTGGGATGTCTGAGCAGAGAAAGATGCAGAGGCCTCAGGATCCCCTGATTGGAGGCCTCAGTGTTGCCTCCTTTCCCTTCCTCCACAGCTTCCAAACCAAAAGAGGTCGGGAGGTCTGTACCAACCCTAGAGACACCTGGGTCCAGGAATTCATCACCGACCTGGAGCTGAACTCCTGAGTGGCCTGGAGGCAGCAAGGAGGCCTCACATCTGTGGGCCGATTTGGGAGCAAAACACCTGAGTCAGGGTGGTGACCCTGCAGTTCTGGAGGCCATTTGTTCTGTGGGTCCCACCCTCACTCCCACTGCCCTCTGGGGTCCTCCTTAACATTCATTTTAGTTTTATGTATCTCATTTCATTTTTGTAATTTATTTCCATTTTTAATTGTGTTATGCAGTGAATGTTTCCTCTGAAATCTCATGATACCCTCATCACCATCTTTCCCCTTTCTTTCAACTCTTCTCAAATTGTATATATGAGTGTGACTAGGTATCTCCAGAAAAATTGTATCTTGTATCACCCAACAGATGCTTGTTGAATGATTTTGCCCAGCACTTCTAAAATATGAAAGGCCATTTATATAAATGGCAAACCAGCATTTATCTTGCATCAAGTCTGTTGATTTTTGTTTTCTAAACTAAGAGTTTACAGTTGACAGAAATACCGGAAGAAGGATAGGGGAATATGAAAAGAGGTGAGAACCACAAGAATGAGACAGAGTATTACTATAGTCATATCACATGTTTCCCTGGAGATGGTTTCCCAGAACATTGCAACTGACACCCATCATTTTACAACCAGATCACAATAGATGTGGTCAACACAATTTTCTACTTAAATAAATAACAAGAGGATGCAGTTTTATGCACATGAGTTGTTTTTCGTAAAGCTTTCCTAGGAATGATGGCTAACATTTGTAGAGGGCTTTATCACATACTGGGCTCTGTGTTAAGTGCTTGTTCATGTTAGCAAGAGTCTAGCAAACTCTGCCAGTAAACTAGCCAAGACTTGCAACTTGGAAGTCAGCTGAGAACCTTGGCCTAGAAAAGCAGAGTTTCTCACTCCAAACCAATGTTAGTATAAAGAGAAATGTGAAGGGAAGAGATTAAGCAGGACATAGAAGTTGTGACTAGAATCGGTCTGATCTCCTCAGATCCCTCCTATCTTGTTGATAAATAAGTATATTAGGGTTCTATAGAGAAACAAAACAGGTGCCTGTCTGTCTCTCTTTTCTCTCTTTGTGTCTCTGATATAGATATATAGATATGTACTGGCACACCTAGATACAGATACATAGAGAGATGTATATATTAGGTACTGGCTGACACACTTATGGAGGATTGCAGCAAGCTGGAGAACCAGAAAAGTCAGTGGTACAATTCAGTCCAAATTCTGACTCCAAAGGCTTGAGAACCAGAGTAGCTGACAGTGTAAGTCCCCATCTAAGCTCAAAGGCCTTAGAAAGGGAAACGGGAGATGATGGTCCAAGTCCCTGTCTAGGTTCAAAGGCCCACAGACCAGCAATGCCAATGTCCACTGGCAGAAGAAGACGAATGCCCCAATCAAATCAAGAGGATGAATTCACCCTTCCTCCTCCTCTTTGTTCTCCTTGGGCCCTCAATGGATTGGATGATGGCTACCAGTATTGGTGAGGGAAGATATTTACAAGTTGACACATGAATTAGATCATCACAGTGAAGACCTGTGTTCTTGGTGAAGGTGTAGGTGGGATGCATCAGAGGCAGGAAGCCAATTGCAGAGGCGCCATAAGTGCAGCATTGCTTCACCAGCAGAGGGCAACGTAGTGACAGACGTCAATACTGAGGGACCTTGGGTAGGGATTGAAAACAAGGACTCCCAGCTCTACACTGGAGGAAGACAGGTTCCAAACCCCATTACAGATGTGACTGTGTCTGACAGATTTTCTGCTCCAAATTAAAAATCTTGGGGAATTAACAAAGAATAACTATATCAGAAGCCTTCAAAAATCAGGAGTGACACTGTCTCTGAAAGGATGTCTTAAAAAAAAGCCTTCAGTTGTACACCAACAGTGGTTTGAACTTGATTTGCATTAACATTACCTGGGGAGTTTTTAAATTGCTATTGTCAGGTCTCACCTAAATCCAATTAAATTTGTAACCTTGCAGATGAGGCCTTGGTATTGCAGTTTACAAAACTCCATGAGTGAGTCTACTGTGGGTTCAAGGTTGAGGAAGTGCTGCTCTACACTTAAACTAATCCTTAGGTACCATTTTACACAAGAAATAGACACCTTTATAAGAAATATTCTCTCCAAGGAAGGCTGCTAGATACAACACAGGATGCCCAGTTAAATTTGTTTCAAATTAGTAACAATTGATAAGTATGTATCAAATATTACACAAAACATTTAAAAAATTATTATTATTTACTTGACAGTACTGGGGATTGAGCTCATGGCCTTAAATATGCTATGAAAGCACCTTACCAGTAAACTACATCCCAAGCATTTTTTATTTTATTTTGAGACAGGGTCTTGCTAAGTTTCCCAGACTAGTTTCAAACTTGTGGTCCTCCTGTCTCAGCCTCCTGCGTACATTACAGACATGTATCACACCATATCTGCCTTTCATTCTATATTTCTGTTTGCTAACTCTGGCCACTGGAGCCTCCAAGCCTCACCTCGGAGATAGATGTAAATAATATTCACCTCAAAAGCAGACCAGTGAACGACAGAGAATCTGACCACGTTAGCAATGGCTTGTGGTTTGAGCTGAGGGGAGAAGTGAAAGATGTTGGCCAAGAGTGGAATTTCACATGATTATGGTAATTTTCCTTTTCCCTTCGTAGAGATATTTTCTCTGCCATTTCACATTCAGGGAACCTCTCAGCTGAGTTTGCGTGGGAAGTGTTATATCATCTATTGACTCTGCTCCTTCTTTGTCAGGGGTCTAAACTTCATCATGTCATGACATGCATGGCTTTTATGGTCGAATTCCATTTAAATTCCCAAAGCTACACCCAGACATTTCCTGTAGCACTCTTCATGCTCCAGTGATGTTTCCCTAAGTACATTTATTTTATGGTCTACGTATATTGGCCCCTGTATAACAAAACGTCCCTTCTCTAACAAGTAAACTTCTACTTATGTTTTAATATTCTGCTCAAATTTTAATTCCACCCGGAATCTTATTTTCCCATATGGAGAAAATTATTTCCCTCGCTGTCTTTCTATTATACTCTTGGGCATTTCTCTACTGATTAATGATTATCTTTTATTTGTAGATGTTTAGTACATTACAAGATCTTTGATGGCAGAGGGTATATTTTATTTATCTATTTTCTAGGAACTTAGTGCAGTATTTTCAGGTACCTATGTATAGCAGAAATAGAATAAATGCTAGATAGGAGAAAAAAGAGGGTGAAGGGAGAAATAAAATGAGAAACAAAACAGCTTACAAGGGAGAAATAAGATCTGAGCATAGAAAATTTTTATAAATGAAGAATATGACAGTACTAAGCACAAATGATAGCTAAGGATGATTCATGACATACATAACTATTCCTCCACTAGGAATCACAAGTAGAGTTCCCTTGTTCATCTATTGCTTGATAACTAATAAAATATAACTAATAAAATATCTCATTTATTTGAAGATTATAAAAGGCAATTTAGTTTCAGCTTAAAAGTCAAAGTAAGAAGAACCTCCAAATATATTACTTTGCCAACTAATTTGATCTAATAACATTTTTTTTTAGCAAGCTATCAGGGCCCACAAATACACAGATTAGCATTGGATTCCTGTAAAATATTTCATAGAAGAAAGTGATGTCTAATGGTGTCCGTGAAAAATTTTAGGAGTCAGTCCATAACACGACAGGTAATATTCTGAAACAGAAAGTTAAAAATATGCTTTTTTTCCTAGGGTCACATTTAAACCAATTATAAAATGTTTTTGGAAATCAGTTTTCCCTGCTTTGATCTGAGTATCATTTGTTCTTTCTGAAACTCAGGTTGGAGCTTAAACCCCATTGTGAAGTATTAAGAGGGCATAAGTGTAATAAGACTATTGTGTTTAAAAGTGGGGCCTTTGGAAGTGATTAGATTACCTGCATAAGTTAATCAGCTTGAGGCTGTATAATCGAATACCGGTGATTTTAGAAGAAGGTGGAAAGAGACTAGAGGAGATACACATGCACACTCACTGTCTCTTGTGATGAAGTCTTGTGTTGCCTTAGGACTCTGCCAGCAAGAAGACATCACAAGATGCAGTCCCGGGACTTTGGACCAGAATGGTGAGCCCAAATAAACTTATTTTATTTATTATCTATCCAGTGTATGGTATTGTGTTATTATAAATAGAAAACAGACCACATTTCCTCAGATGATCTTAAGGTTTTTAACTTCAATCGCAGGTACAAAAGATTTGGATCAAATACTATTTAAAAAAAGAAAATCTCTGTACTACTCATTTGGGGAAATCTTTTAAGTAATCCAGAGGACAACTGAATTGAGAGTACCTGTGAATATTCTTGCCTGATATAGAAAATGAATAACCAAAAGAGAATATTTGGAAGATTCGTCAGTAGTCTAACAGAATCTGCTTAGCCTCTCAATGATGACTCTGAGAATGTTTGCTATCCATTTTTGTTCAAAGGAGTCAGACTACTACGGGTGTAACATTGATACTTAATCTCTCATACACTAAAATAATATTCGGTTAAAGTGCACTTTTATAAAATTCAATCATAATAAAGTTCTAAAGAACACATCTCATTTGTGATTCCGATTTTATAAATGTCTTTGTTTTCCAAAGAGTGAACCAAGCCAGAAAGCCAAGTCATCCTAGATTCCTCTGTTCCATTGCTTCTTTCTAATTATGTCTTCACTCACTATAGTCCATGCCTGTACATTTTTACTTTTACTCTGCTATATTTCTAAGTTGTCTTCTATATCTCTGTTTTTGCTTCTTGTGAACCTATTTTTCTTTTTTTGTATGTGACTTTAAGGTATCCTCACTATCTTAATGGCTCAAACACCACACTTTATTTCTATCTGCTTCTCGTGCTCCTCTTTCTAACTTTTCTAGCTTATTAAATGACAACTCTATTTTTTCAGTTTATCAGTTGAAATACTTTTTCTTGTGCTGTAGCAAATGCATGACTGCATCATATGGGCCAACTTTTAAAAATGTACCTATTTGCAACCTGTTCTCACTGTCTTCTCACTGATAGCCAACCCACCATTATCTGTTATCTAATTTGTTGAAATAGTCCTTTAACTCTTCTATTTTGATACTTGACTCACTGCAGTCTATTCTCCTAAAAGTATCTAGAAAATTGTCTTTCTAAAAACATAGCTCAGATCATACCGCTCTCTGGTTTCAATTTTCAATGGTTTTTCTGTGTCACTAAATCCTTGGCAAAGCCTATAAGTACCAGGGTACTCTTTCCCTGCTGCATTTCTGGACTATCCTCCTAATATTTCCCCCTAACTC